TTCCAGCAATTTTGTTTTTGTTCCTGATTTAGAGCATCCGCAGTTCTTTCGGTTGTTACTATACTGCAAATGTGGTCTGACCAATGATTTATAGGGTGTTAGCATCATTTCTTTGCTTTTATGCTATATTCCTCTGTTTAAAAATAACTTTCAAGTTTCAAGTACAGGCATAAAAGCCATTACATCCTGCGATAGAGAATGAGTGCTCAGCTGACAGACAGACCCTAAAGATCTGCAGAAGATCCCAAGGGAACAATCAATATTAACTGATTCATCATTGGATCTGCTGACTCACCAGCATATCACATTTGCTGCAGATCACAGTCAAGGTGCATTCACTGCAGCCATGACCAAGTTTTCTTTATTCTGTCAGTGTATGTGGGCGAGGTGAACATTTACTGCCCATCCCTAATTGCCCTTGAACTAAGTGGCTGGCTGGACCATTTCAGAGGGTGGTTAAATACCAGACACATTGCTGTGGGTCTGACTCACATGTAGACCGAGTAAGGACAACAGATTTCCTTCCCTTGCTCTAAAGCAGAGTAAGTAAAGACTAGTGCCTTGACTTTTGGAAATTTATACAAAGCACATACCAGATACTCGATAGGTTTACTGCAGAGTAAAGTGTACAGATTACTGGGTTACACTTCAAAAAATACAATTGCCCAACTGTATCAATTTCTATCTACTCGTCATGTCAGCTGTTTAATGACAGGTCATCAAGTCCCAAAGAAAGGTAGCGAGCAAAGTTTCTCAGCAAGGCATCCAGCTAAAATGTGTACAAACTCTTTTAATTTGTCTTCCAACCGCTTCTCTTCCCCTCTGGCTTAAAACCAGGTGTCTCCTCACCCATCTTGTAACATAACCCAAGGCTCTGTGAGTATAGCTCTGCAGTACAGCGCCAGGAACTGTGTCAAAGCGAGCCCAGGTTCAGTCAGCCTTCGACTATCCTCTGTTGTCTGGAGAAAACCTCCTGTCTTCCACTTGGAGCTTCCTTTCTTATCCTTGGGCACCAGTAGCAATGCCAAAACTTGATGCCCATCCTGAATTTTCTTTGAACTGAGAGAGTTTCTCAGCCAATCCAAAGGGCAGTTAAGAATCAACCACATTGCGTTGGATCTGGAGTCACATGTAAACCAGACCAGGAAAGGATGACAGATGAGGGAGCAAATTACTGCAGATGCTGGAATCTGTACTGAAAAAGAAATGCTGGAGATCACAGTGGGTCAGACAGCATCCATGGAGAGAGAGCAAGCTAATGTTTTAATTCTAGATGACTCTTCATCAGAGCTGGCAGATTTCCTTGCCTAAAGAACATTAGTGAACCAGATGAGTTTTTACAACAGTCAATAACAGTTCTCATCCTCACCATTGCAGAGACTAACTTTATACATCAAATTTATTAGTTGAATTTAAATTCCACCAGCTGCCAAAGTGGGAATTGAGCCCATGCACTCAAGAGCATTAGCCTCTGGATTACTCGGCCCGTGATGTTACTGCATCTCCTCTTGGTGTCCGGATCAAGCAACTGGGTGAGAACGTGCAGCAGTAAATAACTCCCTTTCTTGACTATAAAAAGCACAGCGACACCTATATCCATTGTGGGGCTCGACAGGACCTGGTTAATGCAAACATGGAGCACTAGCTCTGATGAAGAGGATCTCTCATCCCTACAGGCACCACCTTAATCAATCCAGGGCCAGGGCACCTTGGAGAGAAGCTGCCAATTTACATCATTACCAATAACTCATGACCTATAGATGCTTTTCCACTCATCTTGGTCTTCAGATGAGCCTAACCTCCAAGCAAATTACAACAACACAAGCCCAATTCTCTCTGGACTGGAACCCCAATCCCTTTCCCATGTTTGCCAGCTCTGGCGGAGCCTTTGAAGTATCAGTGTTGAGTGAGAAAGACAACCACTTTGCTGACACAACATCTTTCACACCCTTGTGCAGTTTTACAAGGCATTTGTCCCCAAGTAGCTGTTTCTGAAGTGCCATCGCTGTTGTACTGGCAGCCAATTTGCTCACAGCAAGACCCCATTAACAGAAAATGAGATAAAACACTGGCTAATCTGTGGTGGTAGCAGAGCCTAAGAAATGTATGTTGGATGAGAAGCTTAGACGAGAATATCTTCAGCTTAAAGCTCTCCTATGAGAGTCCACTAGTCCAGATGTGAGTGAATATTACTGTATCTCCATCATGACGGAGTCAAATTTCTTACTCAACAAACTCTCATTTGGTGTCACCTGTAGACCTTACCCAGGCTAGTGATGTTGTATTCATAAATACTCCACATGTACTCCTTACAAATCTGATGGAAGTTCCCTCTTAAATGAACGAGAAATTCACAGAGCAATTTCAGCCGTGGAATTTGGGTTAATTCTTCACTGAACAACCCATTAAAATCCAGGCATCAGTATGCAGCTCACAGAAAGCACAGCAGGACCTGCCAATCACACACAATCTGTCTCCTTCCATTTCCCCTCACAGTGCAGCAAGCGTTTTGCATTCAGAGCACCAAAATCTATCAGCTTCGAAGATGTGTTGCCAACTTAAACTGCAGGTACCCGAACTGATAGGTGACAACTTACTGAATCTTAAATATCTACATTCAAGGTAGGAAAGCATGCAAAATGTCTCAAGACAAGTAAACAAAAAATTATGCGCAGGTTTTAAGATAGATTTCTTTGAGTTAGGTACAACAAGTTTTTTCTTCACTTTGAAGTTAATCCACACACTCTTATGCAAATGGCACAAAGTTTCCATTCCTTTTTATCAGCCTCATTCCTCAAATGAGAATGATTACCGACATGATCAAAACTAAAATCTCAGATCTTCCTTCATTTTGTTGTCAAAATTCCTTTCTGTCAGAATTAAAGATACAAGTGCCCCATTACTTACCAAGTCAGGACTGTGGTGGAATACTCCCCACTTCACTGGATGAGTGCAGCTCTAACAACACTCAAAAAGGTCAACACTATGCAAGGCAAAACAGTTCACAAGCGCAGCACACTGAATCACAGACGGGTTGACAAGTGGCAAGCAACATTCACACCACACAAATGCTAGGCAATGACCATCTCCATCGAGAAATAATCTAACCACCATCTCTTGACATTCCATGGTGTTACTATCACTGAATCTCCCGCTATCCACATCCTTGGTGTTACCATCAATCAGAAACTCAACTGGACTCGCCACATAAACACAGTGGCTACAGTAGGTAGATCAGAAGCTGGGAATACTGCGACAAGTAACTCACCTCCTGACTCCTCAAAGCCTGTCCACCATCTACAAGGCACAAGTCAGGATTGTGATGGAATATTCCCCACTTGCCTGGAAGGGAGCAGCCCCAACAACGCTCAAGAAGCTTGACACCATCCAGGGCAAAGCAGCCGCTTGATTGGCACTACATCCACAAACATCAAATGTTTCCATCAGCAACACTCAGTAGCAGCAGTGTGTACTATCTACAAGAGGCACTGCAGAAATTCACCAAAGATCCTCAGACAGCACCTTCCAAACCCACGGCCACTTCCATCCAAAACAGCAAGGACAGCAGATACATGGAAACACCACCACCTGCAAGATCCCTTCCAAGCCACTCACTATCCTGATTTCGAAATATACCACTGTACCTGGGTCAAAATCCTGGGATACCCTCCCGAACAGCATTATGGATCTAACTACAAGGCAGCTCACTATCACCTAGGTAACTAGGAATGGGCAATAAATGCTGGCCATCCAGCCGTGCCCACATCCTGCGAATACATTCACACCCCTCACCACCAACAGCAGAAATGTGCTCCATCTGTAAGACATACTGTCGCAACCCATCATGGCTACTCAGACAGAATCTTCTAAACCCATGACCATGACCATCTAGAAAGAGAAGAGCAACATATGCATCAGAATGCCACCATCTGCAAGTTGCCCCCTGAGCCACTTACTATCCTGAGTCACAGTTCCTTCTGTGTCACTGGGTCAAAATCCTGGAGCTCTCTTCCCAACAACAAGGCAGCTCACGAAAACTTCTCAAGGACAATTAGGGATGGGCAATGAATGCTGGCCATGCCGACGCTGCCCACATCCCATAAATGAATTTTTTAAAAAGTCTAAGGCCAGGAACAGTTACCTGACTAATGCCAGTCTGTAACGAGCAAAGATCTGCATATTTCCCAGCAGAATCATTCTGCACAATCTGAACCAACCAAACACAAGTCACGATTTTCTGAAGAAGTGTCCAGACACGAAATGTCAGCTTTCCTGCTCCTCTGATGTTGCCTGGCCTGCTGTGTTCATCCAGCTCTACACCTTGTTAACCTTCACAACAGATCAGCTTTTTTTTGGGGGGGGGGGGGGAACGGTGAAATTGATTACTGGGCACTTGTCCTCTTCGCTTGTCTGTGCGAGCAGTCAGCGGTGTTTCTTCCAGTTGAGAATTTTAGCCTCGTAGCAAATCTTCTCCCAATGAAACCCACAACCAGACTGTCTTGATTTTTGATACTGCAGGCTCTTGGAGCTGTTATCTGGAACAACCAGATAGTTACACAACTAACCGATGTACACATTCACCGTTGTGCAGGAAGTGTATGTGGACGTGTTTACGGGTGAGTTTTTATTTCCTTTGGCGGGTTTGGTGTGTGCCTCAGGCATAACCAAAGATCCCTTTTCTGAAACAAATAACAAGCAGTTCCTGGAAATCCACACAAAAGACAAGAGGGCCACTCTATTAATGGAAGGCATGCCTGATGAATGAAAGAATTCCTTCTGGATGAAAGCACCTTCCCCATGGCAAGCCTCAACAGAAATGATTTTAAAGCTTCTTTACCGTAAGACTGTCATGCCCACAGTGTACAAATGCAATTTACAAATTTGACTGCATTAATTACAGACGGGGGTGGTGGAATGGGGTGGGGATGAAGTGGGGCAGGAGGGAGGTCATAATGGGGGGTGGGGATGGTGTAGAAGGAATCCAAGCATGCATAGCTCACCTAAAACTTCAGAGCCTGAGGCTAGGAGGAACCACAGGTGTTGTGAATCGACAAATACTTCTTCCCAGCAAGAATACCCTCTCTGTGGCTGCGAAAAAAAACACAAGAGAAACAGTGGATTAGCAAAGTCAATAACTCCTGAACGATTTCAAATATTTGTTTGAGAAAGGTCTCAGAAACACGCGCCTGCTCCTGCGCCCTGTTAAATATTAAAGGCAGCTTGCACTAACTGGAAAGCAGAGGTTAACTTGTTGCAAAGCTTTCACTGCGATGCAGTGAGTGTCCAAGACGATTAAAAAGGGTTCTGCAGCCCCTAGTTACAGAGGGAAAAGGCTATGTCTGCGTGTTGTGCTGCAGCTTGAGACCAGGCAGTGCAAGAGGTTGGAAAGCTGAAAGGCAAACAGCACATGTACACAGTGGGTCACCCACATCCAGAACATTAACTTATCTCACTCTCCCACCCCTGGGATACTGAGTGACCTGCTTTGTGCCTTAATCATTTGCTATTTTAATTTTAATCTTTTTACTTATTATCCCTCAACATAGGAGGGAGCAGTGGGTTTTGTCAAATTCCTTTCTACAATACAGTGTAACATGCCAAAAGTTTCTTGGCTTCGTTCTGTTGCCTAACATATCCCCAACTTTAATCATTCCCTCATTGAAGGTGGTGCCTTGAACGACTGCACTAATTATGGATGGGGATAGTCGAATTGGGGGAGGGTGGGGTAGAGATTTAGAGTGCCTAAATCCCCTTCATAAGCCGGGCTATCTCTCTCTCTCTCTCTCTCTCTTTTTAAAATAATCCCTTAAAAGCTACCTCTTTGGCCATCTGCCTTAATATTTCCTTACATGGCTCAGTGTCAAATATTGCAGAGTGAATTCTCCTGTGATGACAACCCCCCGCCCCCTGGCATTTTCACAACATTACAGGTGCTACATAAAGACAGGTTGGCTGTTTAGAAACAGGGCTGTTTTAAATTTGGCTGTGCAGTCAATAAAAACAGACAACACGCAAAACCTGAACGCATGACTGTTGAGATTGCCTGCGCCCCAGGAAGAAAAAAAGACCCACACAGAAGCAAATCAACTCAGGACAAAATTCAGAATTTTCCAAATGTCTCGTTTGGACGCACAAGGTTTTCGTGTCAGCTGAGACTCGATGGATAGCACACTCGCCATGGAGTCAGAGGTGTGCAAGTTCAGTTCCCACTCTTGAGGTCTGAGCCTATTATATGGGCCATCACTCCAGTGTCACTTTTGAAGCAGTGATGTAGGGGTGATGGTGCCATCTCTTGAAAGAGCCATTAAACCAGAGCATCGCCTATCTCTTCAGGTAGATATGAAACAGTCCACTTTTTATTTTACCTTATTCATTAAAACAAAACCTTTGTACATATACATAGTCACAAACACAGTTCATTTCTGTACAGTAGCATATTAAGGAAACAAACCTTGGAGTTTGACTCTATCCAAACAAACCAAAGACATCTCTTACACATACACGACTATATTTACATGCATTTGAGGCACAAGGAGAGTCCAAGAACTGCAAAGATCCCCATTTAACTTCAGCAGAAAGATGTTAGACAGTGGTCTTTCCCCACTGTGCTCCCATCAGTGCCAAAGGAAGAGCAGGAGGGGTCCTGCATAGGGCAGGATAATGCAGGAAATGCTGCAGCTAACTGATGTATAGAAAGCTTCCGCAAACATGTATGTGGTCACTATCACAAACTTTTATAAAGTGATGTTGAGGGGCAAACACTGGCCAAGACACTACTGTGAGCTTTTTATAAAAAGAAGCCACATTGCACCATCTTTACTGTGTCTCTTCTACTGAGTGGGAGAGAATGAGCCTGCAAACTAGTATTCAGGGATCTAATAAGACATAGGAGCAGAAACAGTCCCTTCAGCCCATCAAGTTTGCTGCACCATCCAACGAGATGATAACCCTCAACTCCACTTTCTTGTCCCTTAACCCTTACTGATTAAAAATCTGTCTCTCTCAGTCTTGAATATACTTAATGACCCAGCCTCAACAGTCCTCTGTGGCAGAGAATTCCACAGGTTCACTCCCCTCTGACAGAAGAAATTCCTCCTCATCTCCGTCTTAAAAGGTCACCCCCGGCATCAAGTTGTTCTAAATCTTTTAGGATATTTTGTTCATCTTTATCAGAGCTGGTCACCCACTGGAATTTCACCCCAGTAACCATTATTCATGAGCAAGGGTCAGCCGGTGAGCCCATATGTATATTGTACCAGGCAAACAAATCCACACCCATCTGCAAGAACACCAATACACGCACGCTACTGGTGAAGACACGGAATGGCAAACGAGAGCAGCGAAGCACGTTAAGGCTCACCAGCATGTGATCAGTAACCTCAAGCTCAGACAGGAAGCTCACTTGTGGTTCTTATGATGTGCTAGAGTCTGTTACAAAACTGAGTTTCCAATCAGTGCTATCCCATCGCTCAAATCAAAAATGCAACAGCAGTCTCTTTCGATAATATCAGGAGGCCATTCACTGCACCTAACCCACACTGTTTTCTTTGAAAGACCTTTCCTATTACAGCAAACATTTTATTAAGTGGCACCTATGGGACCAGGAGCTTGCCATTTGATCAAATATTCCAGATAATGAAGAGGTAAGCATAACTGTGGTAAACCCTGACCAAGCGAAGCTTCAAGACACTAACATTCCTCAAAAAAATCTATATTAAAAAACATCAACACACCTCCTAAAATCAATATAAAAACACACAGTAAGTAATAGAAAGGTAATGCAGTGGGTATACATATCACGGTTATACTTTATTTACAGCATAAATACTCTGACATCGCAGTAGATCAAGATATTTGTTTGGAATTATAATTAGAATGTACAGTTTATCAAAAGTGCCAGTTGATAAGGTGCCAGTTAAAACAAAGTTTGCTGTAGGTCCTTTCCTTTATTTTCTCCTTGTAGCCCTGTAAATATTTCCTAATGAAGTATTTAGTTAATTTTCCTCTTTTACGTCACGATGGAATCTGTTTCTGTCGCTCTAGCAGTACAGCACACTGCATAAAGATGTGAAGAAACTGGGGCAGGAGTAGGCCATTCGGCCTGCTTGGCCGATCAGTAAGACCACGTGTGATCTTTGACTCCACCTCCAGGCATTATCCTAAGAAGCCATAATTGCTTTAGCATGCAGAAAATCCATCAATCAATCTCAGTCCTGAACGTACTGATCAAGGGAGCATTCACAGTTCTCTGCAGTAATGCTCTCTTCCAACCTCTCCTGTCAGGCAGAAGATACAGAAGCTTGAACACACGCTCCAACAGGTTCAAGAACAGCTTGTTCCCAGCTGTTATTAGACTGCTGAACGGACTCTCTAACTTCAAATAATGTTGATCTTGCTCTGTGCACCTCCTGTGCAGCTGTAATCTTGTATGCCTCACTCTGTCTAAACACCCTATGATCTGTACGTCCTTGTTTGCTATGATCTGCCTGTACTGCTCGCAAAACAAAACTTTTCACTGTACTTAGGTACATGTGACTACAATAAATCAAATCAAAGATTCACAAACCTCTGAGAGAGGAATACGTTTTTGCTTCTAAATGGCCAACCTTTTGTGCCAAAACCTCAACAGCTTCCTCCTCTCCTTGCCGAGCTTGTTTGAGATTCTTCAGACAGGGAAAACAACCTCTGGCAACATCCACGTTTCAATGAGATCACATGCACGCTACTGCTGAAGACACTGAATGGCAAACGAGAGCAGCGAAGCACGTTAAGGCTCACCAGCATGCGATCAGTAACCTCAAGCTCAGACAGGAAGCTCACTTGTGGTCCTTTATGATGTGCTAGGGACTGAGACAAAACTGACTTTCCAATCAGTGCTATCCCATCGCTCAAATCAAAAATGCAACAGCAGTCTCTTTCTATAATATCAGGAGGCCATTCACTGCACCTAACCCACACTCTCAAATCTGCTCAATGATGGACGGTTGATTTTTCTTCAGTCACCTCATTATTCAGCCATCTCTGATAGTCCATGAGAAGGTGGTACTGAGTCACCAATTTGAACTCAATGCAAAGATTTGCTGGGTCATTTCAAGGGGAGGTTAAGAGTCAATCACATTGCTGTGGGTCTGGAATCACATACAGGCCAGACCCAGATAAGTACGGCAGATTTCCTCCCCTAAAGGACATCAGTGAATCAGATCTAGTCGTTTGATGGTCTCCAATTAATGAGACTCAGTTTTTCAAAAATCCTAGCGTTTGGGAATGAAGTGAATTGATTTTACATTTCCTAGCTCATAGAATCCCTACAGTGTGGGAGCAGGCCATGTGGCCCATCGAGTCCACACTGACCCTTTGAAGAGCAACCTACCCAGACCCACCCCATCCCTGTAACCCCGCATTTCCCATGTCCAATCCACCCTAACCTGCACATCTTTGGACTGTGGGAGGAAACCCAAGTACCCGGGGGGGAAACCCATGCAGACACGGGGAGAATGTGCAAACTCTACACAGCCCGAGGCTGGAATCGAACCCAAGACCCTGGAGCTGTGAGGTAGCAGTGCTAACCACTGCTGGCTTTATGGGAGTGAAAGTCACATCTTGAGATCATCCGACCAAGGCCTTTAGATCACCACAAATCATGGTACACTGACACAGCGTATAAGTTGACCCCAAGGGGCTCTTGTGGCAGTGATAGAGCTCCTACCTCTGAACCAGGAGGCCCAGGTTCAAGTCCCATCCAGTCCAGAGGGGAGTCGTAACACATTTGACCCAGTTGCTCAATAATGTCTATAAGTGACTTCATTTCTTTTTGGACTCAAAAATTAATGTTTTTGTGGTTTAATCAGAATACAAGCTGACTCTGCCAAACCCGTGCCCATCTGATTTTGGATTTTATTTTCATGTGTATTTTACAGTAAGAATACAAAAAGAATACAGTAAGAATATAAAAATAAAACAGTAAAAAGCTATCATTTGTTGCCACAAATACATCACCATTTTGAAAAAGAGATAACACAGTGTGGATGTGGAGGTGCACAGCAGGCCAGGCAGCATCAGAGGAACAGGAAAGTTGGCGTTTCGGGTCG